ATATGCTTTACGTCTAATAAATGTATTTCTTAACTCTCATTGCCTCTTTCCATTCCACTCGACATCCCCCTCCCCTTCATAACTGATTTTACCAATTTTTCTGACTGAACGTGGTTTTCGACTCCTATGGTGATGTGTCGTCCCCGTGCTGCCTACTATCCTTCCTTAGTGGCTCGATAGCCCAGGGTGGGCCTTGGCCTCCTCAAGATTCCTTTTCCATGACAGGTTTCATCATGCTAGTGTTCTCAAATTTTTAGTTTTCAAAACTAGGAGATCTTTTCCTAGTCCATTTATCCATCTTAGATTTGGCCTGCCTTTTCTTCGTGTGCGAATTGGTTAGACACTGAAGTCTATTTTAGCGGTGTGGTCTTCGTCAATTCTGACAATATGGCCTGCCCATTTAATTCATTGTAGCTGCGACCTATCTCTCTTTTGATTTGTCGGTCAGATTTGGCTCATCCTGTATGTTCTACTGCGCAGTTTTGCTGTTTAGGTCGTACTTTTAAACTCTATTTCATAAGTTCAATTCTCTGTCGTAAAAAAATTCTGTAAAATCCTCTTTCATGCCTGCTGAAAGTGCCAATTCTCATCCGATCACTGTGGCGTAACGTACATCTCCCCCCTCCCCCTCTTCGTGAGCGGGGGCAGGATCCTCAAGGGCCCAAAGCCTGGCTGAAGCTAAGTTCATATGGTTTTGCAATTCTTTGTAAGATCCAACTTGGGGGCCAAAACCTGGCTTAGCAGGGAGTCCCTAATGTTCACTGTTACGCTACTGACCCATCACCAAAGTTAAGCATCATCGAGTGCGCTCAGTACTTGGGAGGATGATCTTCATGGAACATCGCGACTCAATTTATGAAAAAAATTGCTCATGGGGAAATATTTACGAAGTTCCTAGTAAACACAAATTACTTTACCTCTCATCATAGTTCGGATAATAAGTGAGAGAGTGAATATTAACGTCGCATTATTCGGGTACACGAGGGCTTTTGGCGATGTAATTTTGAACTCCGGACAAGACACTTAGGTACTGTAAGTCAATGGTAAAAAAATGCATGGAATCTCGATTCTAATATTTAGATCATAATTTTTTAAGGTTTTTAAGTAACTAATGAGTTTAATGTAGCTTCTCAATGAGATGTTAACATACTATCCATCAGAGAGTAGCCAGAAAATTAACGGGACAGGAGATGTGTGATCAAACAAAATGCACAAGGGTTTTTTTTTATCAATTATTATATATATGACTAGCCGATACCCACCCGCTTCACTGGGTATTTAACGATGTTGTATAAATGCATACTGTTTACATATATAGGAATTATTGATATCTAGCATTAAGAATTCGATTGTATTGAAAAGTAAATTTATAGCTGTAATTCTCGCCTCTTGATATAAAAAGGACATAAATTATAATATCTAATTTTTATTTATATCTAAAATAGAAGTAGAAAGATTTTTTGCGCTCACTTAACCTAATAAAGAGGATTTCCACCAAAGCAACTTTCAGTGAATCTCTACTCCATAAAATAAACATGCGTGCTAAATTTCAAGTCTATATCTAACAGAGCAAAAACGGAATTTTTATCATCAATACCTTGTTGAGAGCATTCTTAGTGGATTCCAATTCAACAAAAGAAGCATGCAAACCAAATTTTATTATTATAGTCTTAGCAGTTTGAAAACGGGAATTTTGTCTATCAATACGCCCCAATAACTCTCTCCACTCCCCCTGGAGTTGATTTCTGTAAAATCCATTCTTAGTGGAATTCTATTAAACTAAAGAAACGTGCTCAACAAATTTCAAGTTGTTGTTGTGGCTAATGCCACCTGTCTGACGTAGTCAGAACGAGGCCCACGAAATTCATCGTGGCATGGGCAAGAGGTACGCCTGTTGTTGGCCTTGAGCACCATACAGGTGACAGAGCGATTTAAGCTCGGTGAAACTCCCCGCAGGGACGATAGATGGCGACACGACCTCTATCTCCACCTCTACAATTTCTGCAAGTGAACTGAAGGGGAGGGAAATATTCTCCAGTTCCTGCGCTCGTGAATAAGCCCACAAGACTACGGACCCACTGATTTAACGAGCACGTACTCCGTGTGATCTCGGAGGGTATTTGGTGACATCGAGCATCGAACCCAGGCCTTCCGGTTTGAGGTCCGATACTCTAACCACTAAGCTACCCACGGCCCAACAAATTTCAAGTAAATGGGTTAAATTCAAAAAATGGGTTAAATTTCAAGTAAATGGGTTAAATTCAAAAACAGGAATTTTTCTATAACACGCCTTAATCCCTCGCAACTCCACTCCTTTGGGGGTCCGTTTTCGCAAAACTCTTTGTAAAAGGAACTCTATTCCATGAACGGAACATACCTTCTAATTTTCAAGCAGGTGGGTCTATTGGTTGAAAAGCGGAAATATTTATCTATCACGCCCCTTAATCCCCCTCAGTGACCCCTGGGGATCAATTTTACTCAAAACTATTTTGTAGCGTATCTCTACGACATGAAAGGAATCCGCTTACTAAATTTTAAGACTGTATAAGTCTAATAGTTTAAAAATGGAAATAATTATGTGTAACGCCCCTCAAGCCTCCGCAACGCCAATTAGGAAACGATTTTCACAAAGCCCATCTTATGACAGATCTCTACTCAGTGAATGGAATCTGCTTACACAATTTCAAGATTTTACGTCTAATAGTTTAAAAAGGAGTTAATTACCTATAACGCCCCTTAATTCACCACAACGCTACTTGGGAGTTGATTTTGACAAAACCCATTCTGTAGGGGGATCTGTACTCTATGAAAGGAATCCGCTTACCAAATTTTTCAAGACTGAACGTCTAATAGTTTAAAAATGGAAATAATTATCTATAACGTCTCTTAAGCTCCCGCAACGCCACTTAGGAAACGATTTTCACAAAACCCATCTTATAGCGGATCTCTACTTAATGAATGGATTAAAATTACTAAATTTCGAGATTTTACGTCTAATAGTTTAAAAAAGTAGTTAATTACCTATAACGCCACTTAATTCTCTACAACGCCACTTGTGAGTCGATTTTCACAAAACCCATTCTGTAGGGGATCTGTACTCTTTGAAAGGAATCCGCTTACCAAATTTCAAGACTGTACGTCTAATAGGGTACAAATGGAAATAATTATGTATAACGCCCCTTAAGCACCCTTAAAGCCCTTGGAGGTCGATTTTTGTAAAAATCATTATGTAGGGAATCTCTAAAGAAATCTGTGTACCAAGTTTCACGACTGTACATCTAATAGTTTAGTAATGGAAATAATTATCTATAACGCCCCTTAAATCCCCGTAACGCCCCTTGGGGTTCGAACTTTGCAAAATCCGTTCTTAGCTGACGTCTACTCTATAAGGGGAACCTACCTACCACACACAAATTTCAAGTCTGTAGGTTTAATAGTTCCGGAGATATCGTGATTAGTGAGTCAGTGAGTGAGTGAGTCGCTTTTCTCCTTTATATAAATATATAGATTTACTTAATTATACGTAAATTAATAATTTATTTAATTACAGAATAATGTAAAAATCTACTATCAAATAATAACTCTTATTCTCTTATAGATAATAAATTTTGATAATTTAAAACTATACAATGGACTCCTAATAACTATTACAGCTACTATATTATGTAATTACAAAAACATAATTAAAGTTGCGCAACATTAATATATATATTTAACATTTTAAATTAAAAATTATTTAATATTAATAACTTTTAATATAACTTTTAATATAAAATAATCTTAATATAATTTTAGAGTTTTTATCTTACCAATAAAGATTTTCTTAGTACAACATTTTTTTTTTCTATTCCTATGTATCTTTATGCATGAGGGATTATGCTAGAGACGATTCTATTTTTAATTCTAATGAGGAAAGATAAAAAAAATAGAATTAATTTAATTTATGAGTTAAATAAGTTTTCCTTAAAATGTTTTCTTTGATCGAGGGAGTCTTGATACCCTAGACAACCCTCACAGCAAGAAGACTGATATATTTTTACACATGTTGCTGTTGTCGGAATATTTAATCTTTAAACAACAATTTTACCTGCAATGACAAACATTTAGAAAGTTTTTCTTGCGAACCAGAAAACGCTTTTTTTGTGCCAAAACAAACTTTTCTCTCTTTTTTCCCCAAACAAATCGTGGTACTTTCACCTTTCGTGTTAAAAAAGAATTAAAATAAACCAAAACACATACACAAGTAACCAGTAACACCGAAACCCAGGCGCCCACCAAACCTATTAACCGCTCGCACGTTGAGCAAGAGCAGCCGTTGCCGAACGTGGAAGTGGAGAATGAAAAGAAATAATAATAATAAAAAAATCTCCCATAAACGTGTCCTTCGAACAAGTCATTGATGTCGAAGTTTGTCGACAAGGACATATGCATCTGAAGGCTAAGAATGTTTTTATTTATACACGTGGAAGCGTTTTTTTCCTTCTCCCCTACACCTTCTATTCGGCGTTGTGTTCGATGGAAAACTTGCTATCTCTCTCACCATCCCCCCCTCTCTTTTTATCCCAAATAACAACGATTTATTGTTTCCGCGGGCAAAGTCTTCTTGCATTCATCGTTTTATTAGATATACTTTCAAATAAAATATTACTTTTTCCTCTGAGGACGACTTAAATTGCAAGAACTGAAATTTCCGAATTGCTTTCTTAGTTAAGCTTAGCTTTCTTACCAATTCCTACTATTAGTTCACACCTTCTCTCTCTCTTTCCCTATATACATTTATTTATATATACATATATCTTGTTCAGACTTTCAATCGTTAATAAAATACTTTTTGTTCATCCACTCAAGTTCAAATATATATTTTTTAAAACTTGTAGTGGATGACACTTGATGTTAATACAGTTTTTCAAATATTAATTCAATAATTAAATTAAAAAATGAATAAATAGAACAAAAATAATAGTCCAACAGCATATATAGAAAGGAAAATCGTTCGTTGTGTCCCTGTAGTGCAATGGATAGCGCGTTGGATTCCTAATCCGAAAGTCGTGGGTTCGAATTCCACTTGGGATGGCCTTATTTCTGACTTCTTTTCTGCTATACTATTTTATTAGAATAATTAAATTTAATTTATAAGTAAATGGTAACAAACAAACAAAAATAGTTCAACCCCAATTATAGAAAGTAAAAAGGAAAATCCCTTTTTATTTTGTCACTTAACACTATGATTCTGTCATACGTATACACATATTTATATTGTTGTTGTTGTTGCACGCCCCCATTGGTCAGCAGTGCTAGACCAGGACCATGACATCATACACTTTCAGAAAGTCCAACACCAGCACGGGACCGTCTGCTAAGTCCTGCTTGGTGAGCTCTAGGCACTCGAGGATCTGAGCAGGCGTGGCCGGCTCAGAAGAACAGTTATACATATTTATATTAATTGTAGTTATTCGATAAAAATTAAGGCCGCGGTAGCCGAGTTGTATAGGTATCGGACCGAGGCTTGCCTTGTCACGAGTTCGAGCCCAGTACCACTAAAGACCCGCTGTGTATGGCAGCGATGCACGTTAAATCTGTCGAGAGCTGAAACACGTCCTCCCGTGGTGTGGCGTGGAAGTTAGGAGAGGGGGTGCCAGTTCAGGTGTCGTCCACGTCACTTGACCATGGTTCAAAATTACGTGGTCCGTCGCCAAAAGCTCTCGTGTAGCTGAACAGTGCGACGTTAATTTTCACTCACTCACTCACCCGAATTATGGAGTATTGTGAAAAATTTTTAAAATATCTTTTCTTAATGAGAAGGGATTTCAGTGCGGTTGCCAATCTCCAAAATAAAAAAAGAAAGAAAACCTAGGAAATTTATGCAAATCTCTCCCTATATATATAAGTAGTGGAAATTAAAAAATAATACACTCAGGAACATTGAAAATAGCGACCCAAGAAGAAAGCATCGGATTGAAATGAAATTTGATACACATAATGACACATATGAGAGATTCACTTGATCTCAAAAACAAGAAAATTAAACGAATACAGGGTGTGCAACGACACAAATACTGGGCAACTTCAATAGCGCGTTGGATCATCTCCAGCTGCAATACATGCCGCCACACGGTCCGGCATTGAGTTGATTAGACACCTTATGTTGTCCTGAGGCAGATGGGCCCACAAATCTTGAACAGCCAACTCTAAATCATGTACAGAGTGACACGATGGCATCTGCTGTTTTAGCTGATAGCACACGTGCTCTACAGGCGAAAAATCGGGGGAGCGGGCCGGTCACGGAAGAGTCTGAAAATGAAGTAGGAAGTCTTGAGCAACTCTTGCTGTATGCGAACGAGCATTATCTTGCTGGGAAATTGCCCCTGGGAGACCATTTAGGAAAGGTCCTACATGGGGTCGAAGAATATCATCAGCGTAACGTTGGTAAGTTAAGGTTCCGCGCATCACAATTAAAGTGGACCGGCTATCATAGGTTATGGCCTACCAGACCATTACACCAGCTATGCGGGCAGTGCGACGTAGAGCAGTGTGGGTGGAATTGTACCGCTCACCAGGGCGCCTCCACACCCGTACACGGTTATCATCTGTCCCCAAAACAAACCGGGATTCATCACTAAACACAACCTTTTGCCAATCTGTGACATTCCACATTGATCTGGCTTGGCACCACTGTAGACGCAGTTGCCGACGTTCCGGTGTTAAAGGGAGTGCACGGAAAGGGTGCATGGATTTAAGATTTGCTTCTGCAAGGTGTCTGGAAATTGTTTGTGGAACAATTGCTACGACTACGTCTGCTAGTATCGTTGAACGAGTCACTGTGGGGGTCCACAAGTGCTTGCCGCACGATCCTTCGATCCTCTCTCCTCGTGGTCTTCCTGGTCGCTCCAGACCCGGTTTTCCGCGCGTGGGTACCTTCTCGTGTCCACTGCTCCCAACAATTTCTAACGGCACACCCCGAACGATCCACCTGGCCAGCAACACGGCGCGTCGACCAGCCTGCAGTTTTCATCCCAATGATCAGGCCTTTCTCAAACTCGCTTAACAGTGAGAAATGTCTTCTAGCACGTTTACCTGGCATGTTTTACTTACCAAAGTTTTCCTACAATCGGTGGGTAGTCGTCACGTTTATGAATCTTCGAATTTGCCCTGGCTTATATAGCACCCTCTTCCTGATTGTATCGCCACTTCGGCGTGTATGAGCATGCGTATTGGCACAAAACTTGGATCATTTGCATATCACATTACGCTGTACTTATTTGCAAAGTTTCGCGATTGTACTTAGCTTCCTTCTTGGGTCGCTATTTTCAATGTTCCTCAGTGTATAATAAATAAGACAAAAGTACTAACTTAGGTTTCATTGCTAATAAACGTTTTGCAAATTCAATCACTTAGGTTAGGTACAAAATATAAGTGAGGAACTTGAAAGATTTAATTCTAAATTATCAAATAATCAGCACTTTCTTATTGTGATTTTTTATTTGTAGTTTTTTTACCAAGATCTATGTTAGGATTAATTTTTGAAGATGCTAACAAAATAAGATTGTTTTAGGTGTGTATCAGCTAAATTTTGAAAATACATTTTGATTTTTCATTATGTTCATAGAAGAAAACATTTGTTCACACACACACACACACACAAGCATGGTGATTCAATCCTACATCAATATCTGACATCCAATTCTTGTAAATCTGGAAAATTGCTTGTTGCTACAGCTTTAAAAAATTCAACATAATCAGTCAAATAAGTTTCTTTTTTTTGTTTCTCAATGCAGTAGTATTTAAGTCAGTAATTCTGATTTGGGATCAGGTGGGTAACAACTGACGTCTTTCAGAGAAATTATGAAAAGGGATTTTCAAAAGGATCAGCAAATTTTTATCATCTAGAAAAACATCCAACCTAGATCTGAATGAATCCAGCAAAATGGATATTAAATTTGTAAGACTTCGGAGTGTTATTAACTTTGTTTGATAGTTCTTGCATTAATGTGAGAAATATATTATTTTTTTTTTTCCTCCTCGAAAATCTAAACAAAATAAATTACAGTTTAAAAAAACTAAAAAACATCCCTTTATAGTTAATCGAACTAAGTTGTAACTTAATCTTTTAGCCGCCAAATTTGGAAATGGGATCTGAAATTAGTCGTCAGATGCGGGATGTGATCTGAAAATAAAAAATCGTTAGTCCTGATGATCCTGATCAGGACAATGGAACAAAATTATTAAATTATTGTACTGTCATCGTTCCTGGATAATTGAGAAAAATTTCGAATTAATTTGACCTTTTGAAGTGGGTAAAAATTGAATTCAAAGATTCCGTTACATACAAGTGAAGCTTATAAAAGGGTGTTAAAAAGCAAAACTTTGATCACAAAAGAAGTTATATGAACATTTAGGGTAAAAAAGTACAATGAGTTTTGCTTGTAATCTTAAATTTAAATTATTTAAATGTCCCATAGTAACGGAAAGAAAAACTAAATACACTGCTGGACAATTGCTAAAGATGGATAACACTATCATCCATAGCAACCACAAAATGAAAGGAAGCAAAATGTGGAAAATTAGAATAAGTGCGGGATATTAGTAAGAAGAAGTATGAGTATATGCAAATTTTTTTCCCACGTCTGTTCATGACGTGATAGCGTTCATAAGAGCTTTAAAGGTTTTGACGCGGGTGGACAGTTGTTGTTTCAAGTCAAAGTTTTACAGGAAAGATTTAATAGACGAACTTAAAATTTTTGGCCTGTCTTCCCGACATCACATAGATGATTTTATGCGTGGCCGAATTATTGAAAAGATCGAAGAAGGGCGAAAAATAACAGATGTTGCCAGGGAGTCCGACATCGCTCACAGCGTTGTTTCATGGCTGTGGAAGTCATTTAAAACTGCTGGAATGTGTAGTAGACGGCACGGGGGAGGTCGTGTTAGAAGTACGACGCCTGCAGAAGACAGATATATCGTCCTATCAGCAAAAAGGAACAGGCGCACCACAGCTCAGCAGGTGGCAAATCAGTTTCTTGCTGCCTCAGGAAAGCAGATCTCCTGAACAACTGTTGCCAGACGTTTGAGGGGAGGAGGACTATACGCACGCAGACCTGTTGTGTGTGTCCCATTGACCAGACAGCACCGTACTGCCTGTTTGCAATGGTGTCGTGAGCATCACAATTGGACTGAACAGGACTGGGCATGCGTACTATTCTCAGATGAGAGTAGGTTCAGTCTGTCATCGGATTGTAGACGCCAACTGATCTGGCGCGAGAGTGGTACTGCTTATCGTCCAGAAAATATCCAGGAAAAGGACCGATATCCGACATGCAGTATCATGGTGTGGGCCGGCGTCATGATCAATGGCTGCACGCGCCTACATGTGGTTGCGAATGGGACTATGACGGGCCAACGATACATTGATGAAGTTCTACTTCCTCATGTTCGTCTTTTCTGTGGTGCTGTCGGTGATAAATTTGTTTTTATGGACGACAATGCAACATGTTATCGAACACTCGCTGTTCAGGATTGTCTAGACAGCGAGGGTATTAAACGTCTCGTATGGCCAGCGCGTTCTCCAGATCTAAACCCCATTGAAAATGTGTGGGATGCTTTGGGGAGGCAAGTTGCTGGTCGAAACTATCCTCCGACAAACAAGAACACCCTCATCCGTGCACTCACAGAGGAATGGGATAAATTGCCTCAACAGCTGCTGGATAATGTTGTGCAAAGTATGGTACGACGTGTGGAATGTTGCATCACACTCCACGGTGGACATATCCCGTACTGATACCTTTCTTTAAGGTGCCTGCTGACTTTTAGATGCATTGTTCCATTTATCCGTACGCAGATCAAATGAACATTTTTTTTTCTTTCAGATGTTTCACAGCTTTTGTACTTTCCAGAACAATAAATATTCTTTATTCTAATGTCTGAACAGTGTGGCAACTATATTTTATCCTACTAGGCCTCATGTCTTGCTTAATGTTATGCTACATAGCAATTTGTGATCCGTCCTTAGCAATTGTCCAGCAGTGTACCATAGCCAGTTTTCATTCTTGCGTAGTAAACAATGACTGGGGACAGTT